TAAAATATTTTAATTTTTGATAAAAGTAGATTAAATATGAATTTATAAAATTTTAGCAGACAAATTTGTCTGCTAATTTGGATGGTTTAAGGGATATGCAGATTTTGGTAGGGCTTATATTTTCAAATTGAGGCCCCCAAATTTTACCATCATCTGATTTCATAATCATCCATGATATTTAATAAAATTTTAAAAAAATCATAGATATTTATTTATAAATAAATAAAATTTAAAGAGTTATAGTTTCAGAGGCTATTTTCTCAAAATTTTATTAAGATAATCGCTAATTTGGTTCTATAAAACTAGGGTTATTTTGATTAGAAGAATATTTTTTATTTAATATACAAAATTGATTTACTTAATAAATTTTAAGAAAATCGAAAATATTTATAAATGGCTAAAATTTAAATAAATTTAAAGAATTATAGTTTCAGAGGCTATTTTCTCAAAATTTTATTAAGACAATCACTAATTTGGTTCTATGAAAATAGGGTTATTTTGATTAGAAGAAATTGGTTTACTTAATAAAATTTTAAAAAATGAAGATATTTATAAATGGCTAAAATTTAAATAAATTTAAAAAGTTATAGTTCCAGAGGCTATTTTTTCAAAATTTTATTAAGACAATTACTAATTTGGTTCTATGAAACTAGAGTTATTTTGATTAGAAAAACATTTATTATTTAATATACAAAATCGATTTACTTAATAAAATTTTAAGAAAATTGAAGATATTTATAAATAACTAAAATTTAAAGAGTTATAGTTCTAGAGGCTATTTTCTCAAAATTTTATTAAGGCAATCATTAATTTCATTCTATAAAACTAGGGCTATTTTGATTAGAAAAATATTTTTTATTTAATATACAAAATCGATTTACTTAATAAAATTTTAAGAAAATTGAAGATATTTATAAATAGCTAAAATTTTAATTTGATTTGAAGATTTAAAATCAAATAATCAAATCAAATTTAAATCCAGATTTTTAAATCAAATCAAATTCAAATCTAGATTTTTAAATCAAATCAAATTTAAATAAGCCTAATATTTGATTTAATTTGATTTTGAGGAACTCTACTTTATACATAAAAAAAAAAAGCATTATTATTTTATAATTCGTTATCACAGTTAAATTATAAGAAAAGTAACTAATTAAATATTTACATAATATTTATCTTAGAATATTTCTAATTATATACTGGGTATATGAAACCCGTATCACATGTACTAATAACATGTGCGCATGATATGCATCAATTGACCACTACTGCATTAGCATTAGTATCTTTTTTTTATACACTCTTTTTTTCATTCTCCCTAAGGCACTAAACAAGACTTTTAGCACATATCTTTGGCTTGTACTTGCGCAATACTTTCAAAGTATGTATTTTATATCATTGTAAAGATTAGGGTTGCTGTGAATGCTAAGAGTTTTCTGGTTTAAAGTTCGTGCTGGGGTGCTTTTTTTAAACTTTCGACTTTCGGTCACATTGCTTTGATTCGCTATTAATAATCGCTTGTTCGTGAGTATTCCACATTAATTGTTTTAATATCGAATTTTGTGTTAGTGCTAGCATTAAAATCTTTTTTTTTTGGGTTAGGGTTCGAGTTTGGTTGAAGATTATAACAAATCTCTTGACTTTCCATACATCTGTTCTAATTTGAATTACGGTATCTATACATATCATATTTACGATATTGTTTATTTAATTTGTTTTAGTAATGTACTTAAGATTATTTTGAAACAGGTTACAAAGGTTATATGAAATAACTTGACTTCTGTATATTTGTATTATGGTATCATACTTTCTTATTTTACTTCGTAAGTGTTTATTTTGGTATTTAAGTTTGAGCTTTATAATAGTTACGCTAATTCTTTCAATTCTTTTATAATTTTACAAGGGATATAATATTACTGACTAATACTAAACATACCTTTCGTCAATAATGGTAATATAACTATTTGATCATCTTTTATGAGTACTATTCTCTAAGCATAATATTTAGTAAAATTTTTGTAAATGTAGGATTTTACAAATAAGAAATCAGCTAAAATGATTAATGATAATCCACTTAACTCTAATGAACTTGATTTAAATGACACTGTTTACTTTGAATCTGAGACGACTATTCCTCTTGATTATCCTGATACATACAACAATTCTGTACCCTCAGAAGATGATTACCATGATATATCCAATTATTATAACAATTTTGTACACTCAGATGATAATAATTATATGGCTACTCAATCATGCAACTCAGTGGATGAAGACGAATCAGATAACAATGGAACAGATGATGAATTGTATTTGGAATTGGTAGTTAGTATTTCATTTTCATGCTGGGACTCTTTTAAAGCTTGGTTTAATTGTTTTGCACTGCAAGAAGGGTTTGACTATAAAATTAGGACAAGTGAAGCAGATGATAAAGGCATAATTCGAAGGGCAACCTATGTGTGTACCAAAACCAGCACTCACAGTCCAAACGTGATAGTTGATTCTACTAAGTGTCGTAATGCTAAGTCTCAAAGGACTAAATGTTCTTGAAAATTATATGTTACATATCCGAAGACAATAGCGAGAGTAAAAATCAATTCTTTTTGTAATGTTCACAACCATTCACTTACCTCTATGGTTAATGAGATTGCTACACGATATCGCAAGTTGACTCCTGATATGTTATCAGACATTGAAAAG